CACACACACATTGTACACGCATGTGCTTCAGCATTTTTAAAAATTAGTGCATTATAGTTAAACATAAGTGAGGCTCATTTTGACATACTCATAAATGCACATAACATAGTTTTCTTCATTTCAATCCCCAACAAAGGAGCATTTTTATTTTATTTTTGTACATGGGATAGAACCCAGGTGTGCTTAACCACTGAATCACATCCTCAGCCCTTTTTTATATTTCTATGTAGAGAGAGGGTCTCCCCAAATTGCTTAGCACTCCCTAAGTTGCTGAGACTGGCTTTGAACTCGCAATCCTCTTGCCTCAGCCTCTTGAGCCACTGGGATTACAGGCCTACACCACCATGCCTGGCCAAAAGAGCATTTTGAACATGAGTATCAAATATATATGAGTATCCCCAAACAGAACAGGATGAGTGTTTTCTGACAACCAATTTATTTTTGTTTCTGTTGATATCTACTTTTAACTTGGGTAAACAGGTTTTCAGTAAATGCATGTTCAATTACCACGTGAATTTTATGACATCAGTTCTGATTATAACTGGGGGTTAAGTTCAGTGGCATAACACTTGCCTAATATGTGGTTCCATCCTTAGCAACACTAAAAAGCATAAAATACTAAGTGCTTAATACATGCCAGGCATTCTGGCTTTAAGCACTAACCACTCAAATATCTTTTCTGTAAAGGAACTATCTGATAACTATCAGATAAGGAAAATATGACTAATTATGAACCAAGAACCAGATAATGAAAGTTTCTAACAACTTTAATAAAAGTTTTAAAGTTTAATATATAGAAAAACTACAAAGTTCAAATTTTTGCATTCTTCTTACTTTTAAAACACTCCCTAAAAAGACAAGGTTTCACTCACCTCCCCTTCCGGGCAAACTCAATTGACTTAATGGCTGTGGTATTGCTTGTTCCAGTTGTTACTCTGAAGGAAGCAACAAGATCCTGAGAATCTGTTTTTAGGACCAAAATCTAAGGTTTACAAGAAAAAAAGGGGGGAAAAAAGAGTAAATATTGTGAGAGACTGGGTAAAAATGTAAACAACTCTATTCCCATGTATTCAACCTGAGCAACTGATAGTCCCTTTTCCCTCTTCAAATTTATTTATATGTCCTTTAGGACATAGTATAATAGAATATTTAACATTATTTACAATAGTCAAAAAGTGGAGCCAGGCATGGTGGTACATGCCTGAAATCCCAGTGGCTTGGGAGGCTGAGACAGGAGGATCACGAGTTCAAAGCCACAATCAGCAATTCAATGACACCTTAAGGAACTTAGTGAGACCTTGTCTCCAAAAAAAAGGATAAAAAGAAAAAAAAGTGGAAGCAACCAAAGATGAAAAAACAAAATGTGACATATATCTACAATATTAGTGAACTTTGAAAAGGAGGATAATTCTGACAAATGCTGCAGCATGGATGAACCTTAAGGACATCATGCTAAGAAAATGAGCAGCCACAGATGGGAAAATAAGATCTGATTTCACTTAAGAGGTAACTAGAGTAGTTAAATTCACAGAAACTAAGTATAATGATGATTGCCAGGAGCTGGGGGAGAACAGAGACTGGGAAATTATTAATGATTACAGTAATTCAGTTTTACAAGATAAAGAGTGTTCTGGAAAGGATGGTGGTGAGGGTTGAATGTACTTAATACCACTGAACTTCACATTTAAAAATGCTTAACACGGTCAATTTTATGTTATGTGCGTTTTATCATCATTTCTAAAAAATTGTCATTTCTAAAGTCACCATGAAATTACACTAGCTCTCATGCCCCCATCAAATCAAAAAACCACAAGGTGCCTAATGCAACTACAAACTCTTAAAGCATAAAAAGAGTCTGAAAGCTCACCTAACTTGACTTCTTATTCCACAGAAGAAACACCTACTACAATGCATCCCAGGAAGGAGTGCCTACACCTTCCAAACATTCCAAAAGGCAAGGTTAGACGTTTAAAAGGAAGGGAAAAAGAAAGATGATGAAGTCTCAGTACTGCAGGTTAAGGCAGCCTGAATAACACAAGATTTTTTTTAGTTGTCAATAGATCTTTTATTTTATTTATTTATATACCGTGCTGAGAATCAAATCCAGTGCCTCACACATGCTAGGCAAGTGCTCTTCCACTGAGCTACAACCCCAACCCCACACAAGGTTGTATACAACTAGCTGTGAAGATGTTTTCATCAGCAGTGTTCCAGCTGGTGACAGGACTTCTAAATTTGGTTTTATAATTTAGTCATAGCCCTTCATTAGCATCTAGTAATGACCCTTTTCTATGTCAAATAATCTCTGCCCACTTTAAATCTAAAGAACAGAAGTGATTATTAAGGCAAGAAAGAAAAAGAAGCTACATTTACTACAGGCAAAAGCCATGCTTAATCCAGCAATGTTTTAAAAACTCAAAAGAAGTAGAATAAGTACACATAAAATGAGCCAATGCAAAGATACATGATCCTTTCACCAACCTTTAGGCTTCTTGGCTTACCTTGCCTTTTGCATTTCCTGTATAGATATATTCCCCTCGCCTATCAAAAGATGCCACCACGTTCAAATCAGAGTCATCGTCTACCGGCAGAACAACATGTTTGGAATCTGAAAGGGTCAACATGACAGGAGCAGATTTCATGGGACACACGAGAACCTTGTTCCTGTTTAAAAATATGAACAGCACATTGGCTATTGCTTTGGTATCAGCAGGCTGATTCCCTGTCCTTTTCACTGATCCTGTCCACTACTCTCATCAACTCTCCCAGACCAACTTTGAAATAGTGAAAAAGCAAATAATCTACATGTCTTATAACAGTAAAAAAAAAAAAAAAAATTTAGGAAAATTATGAGATCTTATTTTAACAAAATCTGATTATTAAAAATAAATATGAAGATAGAAAAAACTAGTAAAATATGAAATAAAGTAAAAAACACTGATTACAACTATGTAAAAAATGCATATTTAGGTACATTTAATATGGACTGAGCTACAAAGCATTAAATAATAAGCTTTATACTTACAGAGAAGCTGACAAGAGAACCCAGAGAAATAAAAGTAGTTCTGTCTGGGTAATGGAATGTAGATATTTCTTTTTCTTAAAGGTAGTTTTAGTATGAACTACATCCCCACGCTAAAGAAATCCAAATAATCAAGGAAGGAAATGCCCCAAGTCAAGGCCCAGTTATTATATGTATTCTCACGTTTGCTCATTTCTAAAGTCTTAATATTGGCCAGTTTTTAACTATATAATACAATCACAATCTCCTCAAAACGTACCCAGAAGGCTCAACCTATATGAAGAGATTATTTTATTTAGATTTGAAGATATGTGCATATGCCTTCTAAAACCTTTAACTATCATGAGCCCAGAGCTAATCCTTTTAGAATTAGACCCCACCCTAGGAAAGGAACAGCTTAAACATACTGATCTCTTGGATGATATTGGACTTTTAAGATGGGTGAAGGAAATCGAAACCTCTGGTCACAGTCTCCTGAAAGAACATCCCATTGTGACACTATGTTATCAGTGGAAGCACTCACGAGCTTATGGCCATCTCGACTCCAGCTAGGAAAAAAAAAAATAGGTAATTTAGCATATATTTGAGGTTAAAGTTTAATGTGCCATGATTATAGATGAATCGTGTTAGTCACACACATTGCTCTAATTGCACAGGTCAATATTTTTTTTAAAGTATACTCAAACTGGGTATGGTGGCACACACCTGTAATCTCAGCAACTCCAGAGGTTAAGGTAGGAGGATCACAAATTGGAGGTTAGTCTCAGAAATTTAGCAAGGCCCTAAGTAACTTACTGAGAACCTGTCTCAAAATAAAAAATTAAAAAAGGGGTGGGGATATAGCTCTGTGATATAGTGCCCTAGTTTCAATCCCAAGCACCAATAATAAAAAAGAAAGAGAGAAAGAGATTTTGTCAGGGGGTGGGAGCTGGTTTCAGGGGTGAAAAGTATCTGAATTTTCTGAAGGTATCCCAGAAGTAGCACCATGAACAAAACAAAAAGAAAGTATCAGTTATTTAAAAATAATTAAGAAAAGGAAGAATGAATTTTTCCTGCTAAGCACATCTAAATACCCTGAACATGATATGAATACCAGAAAAAACACTGCAGCCCACCCGCACCCCAGTCCTCAAGGTCTAAACAGATAGCCCAGACTCTACCTTTACCCAATTGTAATAGGACACCTTTACCCCATACAAGGGTGTTGTCAGAGAAGGCTGAGTGGCAAGTAAGACTTTTTTTTTTTTTTTAACCAACAACAGTAATGAGGTCCCATCACCACCGTGTTAGTGGAGGCCACAAGGAGAAGAACAAGGCATTCTTATCCTTCCCACACAGGATGGTATCAGCAGAAACCTAGTGGAGACCTATGCTTCTACTCTCACCCAGCAGTATCTACAAAGTAATGGAAGATAGAAGAAAAGAACCACTAAATGGAATTCAAGAACTGAAAAATATAATAACTGAAATAATAAACTCTATGGATTCAAAACCAATGGAGAAAGATCAAATGAAGAATCTGCAAACTGGAAGACAGAATAATAAAAATACCCAAACTGAATAGAAAGAAAACAGAATAAAAAATTAAAAATTAAAAAAAAAAAAAACCAATGACCATTGCCCTCAGGTACCTGCAGGACTATAACGAAAGATCTAATATTCATGCCGATTCCCAAAGAGAATGAGACTTACAAATACTTAAAAAAAAATAAAATATTAAATAAACTGGATGAAATTTCTTCTAATTAGGTAAAAAGATATTAAAACCTACTGATTCAAGCTAAGTGAGCCAGGTGCAGTGTAATCCCAACAACTCAGGTTGTTGAAGCAGAAGAATCATAAGTTCAAGACCAGCCTCGGTCTCAAAATAAAAAATAACAAGGGCTGGGGATGTACTAATAGAACAACCCTAGATTCAATTTCCAGTACAACTGAAAAACAAAGAAACAAAAATAAAACCATTATAGATAAATAAAAAACAGAACTGTAAAACCTTGTTCAAGTAATCCACAGGAAAGCAGGAATCAGAGAAATAAATAACAGAAGGAATGCAGGGCATAATGAGCATGCCTGTAATCCCAGCAATGTGAGAAACATGTCAGGAGATTGAAAGTTTGAGGCAACTTAGTGAAACCCTATCTCAAAATTTAAAAGTAAAATCAGAAGGGCTGGGGATGTGGCCCAGTGATAGAATGCCCAGGTTCAATCCTTAGTACTGGAAAAAAGAAAAATGATAAATTATCTAAGAAATAGTTGGGGGCAAGGGTGGTGGTGGCTCAGTAGTAGAGCGCTCGCCTTGCATGTGTAGGGCCCTGGGTTCAATCCTCAGCACCATATACAAACAAAATAAAATAAAGGTATTGTGTTTTTCTACAACTAAAAAAAAAATATTAAAAAAAGAAAAGAAATAGTTCCCAAAAATGGCAGTAGACTGGTAGTGCCACAAGATTAGGGATAAACAAAGGACAGCTTTTGTGCTTTTCTTGTTAAGCCTTTTTAGTACAATCTGCATAACAGTGGTGGCTGTGATTTCATTTTCCTTTAAACCTTTCTGCACTATAGCATTTTTCCCTCTTTCAAAATGAGTTCATATTTCTGTTATAGTAGAGGGGAATCTAATTTTTAAAATCATGTTATAAATAGAAGTGAAAACTAAGAGAGATTTCCCTTCTAAAAAAATAATTCTTGGCTGAGAGTATAGTCAATGGTACAGTGCAGTTAGCACATGTGAGGCCCTGGGGTTCAATCTGCAGCACAAAAATAAAATAATTCTTTAATTTTAAATTCTATAAACTCAAGAATTAGGGATTATGACATCTGAAAATTTTGTATCTTTGCAAAAAAAAAAAAGATAGATCTTTACTAAAAGTGTTAAGAGTTTTAACGATCATTTAAATTTTTTGGTTTTTGCAGATGGAATCCAGGCAGCACTCCATTACAGAGCCACACCCCCAGACCAAGACTATATAGCTGTAAAGATTATTTAGTTGTACCTATGGCCCCCTCCCAATGTGCAAGAGGGGACAGAAAGCCTTAGCAGGGAAAGTCCCACTGTTCTTTTTGGGCAGTCTATCCCATCCATGGCATTTCTGTTGGGAAGCTCTTCTCTAATCTAAGCTAATAATTTGTTTTCCTATGACTTATATTCACTTATAACTTACATTGACTGTGTTATGGTTTAGATGTGGTGTCTCCCAAAAGCTCACATGTAAGACAATGTAAGAAGGTTTGGAGGAGAAATGACTGGGTTATAACCTTAACCTGTTCAGTGAATTAATCCCTGATGGGATTAACTGAGTGGTGACTATAGGCAGGTGGGGTGTGGCTGGAGCAAGTTGTTCACTGGATTTGTGGCTATCGGGTATATATTTTGTATCTGGAGAGTGGAGTCTCTCTCTGCTTCCTGATCCTCGCTTCCCTCTGCAACACTCTTCTGCAGTGCAATTTTCTTATCTTCATTCACTGTCCCCTTCCATCTCTTTTCCACATGTTGCTCTAAAGACCTTTTAAATAAAAGCTCATCAAGTCACTTTCCTGCCTAGAATCTTGTAATGACTTCACAGTACCAAGATAAAGTTCAAATTCATGAATATGGCACACAAGGCTTTCCATGAATATCTCATCTTACCTTACTTTTGTCATATCATGTCTCCCATAGCATCATCTAGCTCTCCTGAAATATCTTTGTTCCATCTTATCATACTTGTTTAAGGCTGATATGCAGTGCCCTATGCTTGGAATGCACCTGGCAGATGCCTACTCATACTACAAGTATGAGCTAGAAACCACCTCATCTACAAAGGCTTTTCTGAACACTCTTCTCCATGGGCACAACTGATACTTCTTCCTTTATATCTTTGCCTCCACTAAATCTTAAATATAGTTCTAGTATAGAACCTTTATTACATGCACCTGCCTGCACACTCACTTCCCTTTAATAATCAAGAATTTTGCCTCTGGGTTCAATGCCCAGCATGGCAATAAATAAATAAATAATAAAACAATAACTGTTCATTTGTTTTGGGATTCCCAATGCCAAACATAAATCCTGGGACATAAATGTTTGCTGAATCAATCAATGACTATATGAGAAAAACCTTATGGACAAAGACATACACTAAACATTATATAACAGGGGAAAAAAAAACACAAAAAAATAGTTAAGTAAGTTATAAAATGCAAGACCTTGGATTTGATTTTAGCACTACAAAAAGGGAAAAAAAAACTACAATTTAACTGTCAGAATACATGTAGCCATAAAAAAGTTATTAAGTAGGAAAATGTTTAGATAGTGTTAGGGAGGAAAAAAAAGCAAAATATAAAATAAATTATAGCATTAACTTTAAAAAAACTGTATGTAGAAATTTATGAAAACATTTATAGAAGTAATATCTAGATGATAGGACAAAGGAGAAGAGTAGTTCTATTGTTTTATTTTCTAAAATGATGAATACATATTTCTTCATAATTAAAATGTACACATAGTTTAATAAGTAGGAGTTTCAAAATTAGATTGTGATGATGGCTATGCAACTTTTAAAGTAAAAGAAACAGTGAACTGTACACTTAAACTGGGTGAATTTTATGTTATATGAATTATATCTGTCCTACTAATGCTGTTAAAAATACATGTATCTATTTAAATCTTTATTGTAAGAATACAACAGCAAAAATGAAATGCACAGGAGCTGGAGGGGACCTAACACATCATCCAGGCCAGGCCATTTTGTAAATCAAAGTTTGACCAATCATCGTTCCTAGATCCCAGATAGGCATTCAAGCCAATTCCCAAGCCAGTGCTTTAAAATACTGCTGCCCCCATTCAGACAACAGGAAATAATTATAATTTAAATAACCCTGATCTAACTAAGTGCTTTTTAAGGGCACCAAGTTCATTAAAAAAAAAAAAAAAATTCAGTCCCCAAATTTTCTGACATGAATAAAGTAAATTCAGAGAGTAAGAGTGAAGTCAATGGGAATTTATATAACAGATATCAGCCCAATGTATTTGATAATAAACCTTATCAAATACATTTCAATGAAGGAACAGGCATGAATTCAAGAACAAGACTTGAAAGTTGGACTAGATGACTTCCAAGGTTTCCTCTTTACCATGACTTTATTTTAAATGAAAGGTCATGTAATGATTATACTATAGCTACAATATCTCATTTCAGTAATGCAATATTCCCAGAAGGAACCTGACTAAAAAAATCTCTATGATATCCAGGCGCAGTGGAGCATGCCTGTAATGCCAGCTCCAGAGGCTGAGACAGGAGGATCCTGGGTTCAAAGCCAGCCTCAGCAATGGCGAGGCACTTAGCAACTCAGTGGTAAAATACATAAAATACAAAACAGGGCTGGGGATATGGCTCAGTGGTTGAGTGCCCCTGAGTTCAAACCCCAGTACCAAAAAAAAAAAAAAAAAAAAAAAAAATCCCTATTATAGTGACTGTCTCCCTACAAAGGTATTTTAAGGACAGTATGGGTTCAGGGTCTACACGGACTACGAGCTACAACCCCAGCTGATGGTATGACTGATGGCTGATTATCTAAAACTTTAAATATTAAAATATCTACATTGAAAATGGCAGATACATAGTCACCATTCATTCCTCTACTTTAACTTGTATTTAACATATTAACCTAAAAATTTCTAGAGGTATATCTCGGTAGCAGAGTATTCCACTAGCAAATGCAAGGCCCTGGGTTCGATTCCCAGCAGCACCCAGAAGCAAAAAACAAAAACACATAAAATTTTTTTCTATGTACAGGTGATGGATTTGTTTTTTCATAATGCTGGGGATTGAACCCAGGGACTTGCACAATCCCCAGTGAGGCAAGCATTCTAACAACTGAACTATATCCCCAGCTCCCCACCAAAAAAAAATTAAAATAAAAATTCCTTACCATAAAGAACAGACCGGATGAATGTGTGCACTAATTATTTTAGCAATGCCTCTTGTCAAGAAATCCCAGATGACAATTCGGCCATCATTACAGCCAACTGCAAGCAATGTACCCCACCTATTAAAGGTGCAAGTCAGGGCCATGCTGATGCAATCCAAAGTTCCATCAGCTTCCTAAAAATTAAAACAAATACAGAAATATAGACAATAATGGCCAGGCATCTAAATTATTTCTTAAAGGCTTTCTGCCATTTATGACATTTCTCTTGAATTTAAATAATAATGCATATGGAAATAGTCTCTATATGTCTTCTTATACCTTTCAATTATGCAAAATGAAGAAATATTTATAAAAACTAACCATGAATTTTTGGAAACAGATGTGATCTATCCCTTACATACCACTATAACTGTATAAACTTTCTGGAGGCCAAATGGGCAATATCTAAGAAAAACCACTAGAATCATACCTGTTGACCATTTAAGAATAAAAACCAAAAACACATAATAGCCTAGGTAACATTAGGGAAATCAAATAATTATTTTATGTCAGTATTAAGCCACTTAAAATAACAACAGCTATGCTGAAACATATTTAAGTGTTGTAAAAGCACACTGAAACATATTGATTATTACTATGTAAAAATAAAAGCCCACAGGAACAAAAAAAATGTATGTACAAGTGATGGAAAAAAAAACTCAATTAAAATTTTCTGTTTTGGGGAGCTGGGGTTGTAAACTCAGTGGTAGAGTGCTCGCCTAGCATGTGTGAGGTCTTGGGTTCAATCCTCAGCACCACATATAGATAAATAAATAAATAAAATAAAGGTATCCATCTACAACTACAAAAAAATTTTTATAAAAATTGTGTCTGCTTTTTTTTTTAACCTAAAGGCAAATGACAAGATTTATAACATTATGGTGAAATTTTTAGCTAATATTATTTATCTACTTACCCCCCCTCAAAGTTAAACATCTACATCCAATCCCTTATCCCTTAGTCATAGCGAAAGATCTATCACAATTAATGTTATTTTGTCAACCAACATAATCACTACACAATCACGATTTTCCTAAAACTATGACAAAACTATACTCTTACCTCCGGATAGTTCTGCCCAAAGGACTCTGCAACAAAGCAAAAGAAAGAGATTGATGAAATATGCGTCATACAGCTCCCGAATAGTACAGAGCAGAGGTTAACCAAGTGAAGGGGCAACTGCTGCCCTTTCTGGGACTCTGTAAGGTCACACCTATTTTCATTATCATGCACAGATGGTATCTTCCTTCTTAACTCCCATCTCCCAAGTATGCAGATGAGTTTTCCTAAGGCTATGTGATCTGTGACATTTCAACAAAGTGAATGCAGAAGCAGATGTATGAATCCAGCCAATTTCTATTTAGGCAACATTAAAAAGATTTGTGAAAATACAAAACAACGCCATTCTTCTTACAATATATTTTTTGTTTTCAAAAACAAAATATTCATATAAACATCTCATGTTATTATGGTTACATTTAACTAATAAGCTTTAAAAATATGTTTTAACTTCTAAATTAGTAAATATCAGTAGCTATATCCCACATAAACAAAAGCATCTTCAGAGATCCTTAATTTTCTTTCTTCTTTCCTTCCTCCCTCCCTCCCTTTTTTCTTTTTCTGTGATGCTGGGGATTGAATCAGAGCCTAAACAAGTGCTCTACCATTGAGCTACATCCCCAGCCCTTTTTATTTTATCTTGAAACAGGGTCTCACTAACTTGACCAGGCTGGCCTCGAAAGTGTCATCCTGGGCTGGGGATGTGGCTCAAGCGGTAGCGCGCTCGCCTGGCATGCGTGCGGCCCAGGTTCGATCTTCAGCACCACATACCAACAAAGATGTTGTGTCCACCGAGAACTAAAAAATAAATATTAAAAAATTCTCTCTCTCTCTCTCCTCTCTCACTCTCTCTTTAAAAAAAAAAAAAAAGAAAGAAAGAAAGTGTCATCCTACTGCCTCAGTCTCCCAAATAGCTGGGATTATAGGTTGGTGCCACCACGTTCAGCTGGGGAATCTTCAATTTATTTTTTAGTAGATAGTCACCATTCAATCCTCTATCTTAACTCATATTTAATATATTAATCTAAAAATTCCTAGGGGTGTATCTCAGCAGCAGAGTACTCCACTAGAAAGTGCAGGGCCCTGAGTTTAATCCTTATAAATTTTAAAGTATAAAGGGACCCTAAGATCAAAAAGTTGAAGGCGTGTTAATATATCCAGGTCTAACATCAGTCTTTCCCCACCACATTCTTCAGGCTTTTCATAATTTATTTCCTATTTATTAAAATGAAAGGAAAGAACCAAATCAAATCAGTCAAATTATCTCAAGCCCCAACTACTCTCTGAAATCCTTAATAAAGCAGCAATCAATCAGCAGTGTTCACTCCTCTTCCTGGCTAATATAGTAGTTACCCGCCTCTCCATGATTTCAGTTAATCCATGGCCCCAAAAATTCTGGAAATGATTTCTAAATTTAAATTACAGTTTGGGGTAGCATGATGAATTCCTGCACCATCCCACTTCATTCTGCCTGACCAGGATGTGAATCATCCTTTTGTCCAAAGTATCTACAATGTATATACTACCCACCCCGTAGTCACTTAGTAGCCATCCTCAATATCAGATAATTGTTTAAGTATCATACTGCCTATGCTCAAGCAACATTCATCTTACTGAATAATGGCCTCAAAGTACCATTGTTACATACATGGGCATAGGAAAAATCACAGTACATATAGGATTTGGTACTATCAGCAACTTCAAAAATCTACTGGAGCTCTTGGATTACATTCAACCTCCCTCAGCCCTGCCACTGATAAGCGGTAAACTACTGTAAAAGCATTTAGACTGAAACATAATTTGGTAGTTGGTTAAACACATAATTCTCTATATTCATTTCTTATGTAAATAATGCTTTGATACACACATTATACATTTGCTATGTTAATTTGGTATTTGTATGTTAGTAAAGAACGTTTTGGGCTATTGTAATGGTATATTATCTACTTGTCAGAAGTCTAATTTTGGCAGCAGCCCTATCTTTGGGTTTGTTTATGTAATTTCCAAAAGAGTTTATTATAGTAGCTCTTTACAGTATATTCTTTTTTAAAAAAAAAGAGAGAGATGATTTTAATATTTATTTATTTATTTTAAGAGAGAGAGAGAGAATTTTTTAATATTCATTTTTTAGTTTTCGGCGGACACAACATCTTTGTTTGTATGTGGTGCTGAGGATCGAACCCGGGCCGCACACATGCCAGGCGAGCGAGCTACCGCTTGAGCCACATCCCCAGCCCCTCTTTACAGTGTATTCTAAGAACTATATATGCAAGGAATTGTTTCACATGTAGGATATCCATGTGATATCTTGACCAACTGAGAGCTTTTCTTGGCAACAACAAATGTTCACTTTACTCTAAAAAATTATACTTTTGCCATAGAAGCAAAAGAAAAATAAGAATTTAAACATTATGTTTATCCCTTGCCTACAAAGGTCATAGTAGGTACACAAAAGGTATTTGTCTAAATGTTAAATGAATAACTCTGGTGTTATACCATCCAGCCCAACAGGTCCTTGTTCTTCATACTACTCAAAATACTGAAAACCCTTTCTTGTGACCCCATTTTTACAATCCTGGCTTTCAATCACATTCCCTTTCCTACCTCTATTCTTAAAAGCCTGTCACTCTCACATGTCCACCTGTAGCTGTGTGCCCCTCTTTGGTACATGCCATTCTGGAATCTGAGTTTAAACAATTTTCAGTGCAACCACATGGCTTCTTCAAATACCCCATTCAGATCTTCCTTTTCCTGTTAGGATTCTTTCTCCAAACTTCCTGTGGTTTTCTAAGCCTCTCTAGCCTTTTTCCTTCATTACATGTATCACATATACCTCCTTAAAGTCTCAATTGTCATATGCTCTAAAATATCATGTACCTTTTCTCCCAATAGCTTTTTTGTTTTCCACTTGCAAACCAGTTACTCCCTATTACATTAGTTTAGGACCAGAACAGCAGTTTCCATCCTGCTTCCTCTAATAGATGATGGGTCCATTAGTATTTCTCTTAGAGAAATATAACTGAAATGTCTAGATAATTGATACTGAAATAAGGATAGAATAATTTTTTTTAAAAAGTAGTAGAAGATATTTTAATCTGAGGTTACACTAACCTTTCCAGGCCTGTCACTTCCTAAGCCAGTCACTCTCCCACCTATCACCCCCAAATTTCTAGGAAATCTATAAATCTTAAAAGTTAACCATCATGGGCTAGGGCTGTAGCTCAGTGATAGAGCGCTCGCCTAGCATGCATGAGGCACTGGGTTTCATCCTCAGCACTACATAAAAATAAACAAATAAAATAAAAGCATTCTGTTCATCTACAACTACAAAAAAAATTTTATAAAAAAAACTAACCCTCAATTTGTTCACTTATGACAATTACCTTGTACACTGTTAATTAACCCACCAATAAACAAAAAGTAGAGAGAGCTATGACATTTTAAGAAACCTACAATTTTAGGGACTTTCCAATGTTATCTTCTCATCACTTAATGGAGTTCACATCAGCCTAAGAATAATCAGATTGATGTCATCCTCACATACCTTCCCATGCCTACCCCTCACCAAGTTTCCTTTAAAAGAGGAGCCAAGAACCCCAAAAATATATCTCTCATTGAAGATGGCCTGCATTCTCCCTTGAATACATGCTCCTTACTCTCCTATATAAATCTCTGTGCTTCTACTGACATGTATGTCAAGGATCTCATGGGTCCTGGGTTGAGTTTTCCTCTCTCTGGAAACTCCTCGGGACCTTACCCCAGAGACATCTCTTCTCCCATGACAATCCCATTGTACCCGCATCCCAACACAATAATTGTTGTATTTCCCTGGCTCCAGTCTTGCCCCTCAATCTTTCACAAAGCTGCTGGAGCTGACTTTCTAAGCCCCAGATTACATCTCTCACCTGAATAAAAACCTTTCTAGCTAAACAGTATACAAACTACTAAATATAATTTTCAAAAGTAATTTCATTCAGACCCCAACCAGTATTTTCCAATTTATCTTTGGCTAATTCCCTATCCACTGGCATCTAGAAAAGAACCTCAATTTACTCATCCTGAGCAGCAGCTGCATATTAGTACTTCCTGAACATAATGTATACACATCATGCTTGGGAGGTTTGTTTGTCCCTGCAGTTTTCTTCAACTTCTCTCTGGAAAAATCCTACTCCATCCATTTTGGATGTTTTGTTTTGTTTTGGTGGTACTGGGATCAAACCCAGGGCACTGCACATGCTAGGCAAGCACATTACCTGTGAGCTGCAGCCCTAGCTCCCTACCCCATCTTTAATGTCTAACTGACACTTCCTCTAATAACATCTTCCCAAATCCTACAGCCAGTTCCACCAGTAATGTAGAATTAACTGCTCAGTTGCTGGATTCTCATAATATATTAATTTGCTATGATTCCCTATAACACAGAGTTACTTGTTTAAGTTTGTCTTTCCTTTTAGTTCTAGTTGTTTATCCAGAGCAAAGGCAGTATCTTATTTTAGTGTTTCTCAAATCACAGAATTCAATTCACCATAAATGGGAAAATTAATTTAATGAATTTCAATAAATTAATAGATTAGAAAAGAAATATCAAGATACTAAGCATAACAAGGATTACATATAATTTTGAAAGTTATATGTATATGTATATATAATAAGCTGTGATATAAAATATATTTCTTACTTTGGGTTGTGGTAAAAGAGTTCGAAAAACTGTCTTATTAACTTCATATCTCCTGTGCATACTACTTGATAACACAGCAGGGGCTCAAAAAGTGGTTGCAAGTGTTAGTGTCATACCTAAGATCCATCTGAGTGGCCACATTAGGAACACACTGCTGGGCATACAGACACATGCCTGCAATCCCCCAGACTCAGAAGCCTGATGCAGGAGGATCACAAGTTTAAGGACAGCCTAGGAACTTGGCAAGACCTTGTCTCAAAAAATAAAAAGGAGTGGGAATGTATCTCAATGGTAAAGCACCCCTGGGTTCACTTCCTAGTTCTACCAAAAAAGAAACACACATTATCATCTCCTTTATCAGACCAGGTGGCCTTTAGTATGCTCCCACAATCACATCACTGTTTCTTTCACCCTTTTATATGTACATATGAATCTTCTGGCTTTAAATCTGAGTCATTTCTACAATGATTTGTAGCTTTTAGACACATACTTCATTTAAATTGTCTAACCTCTCAATGCTAAATATTCCCTTCTTAGTTTCCCCCTCATGAATCTTCTGTATCATTTGAGAAAAAAACCTTTCCCAGGCTGGGTAGAGTTCAGTGGTAGAGTATGTGCTTAGTACGCATGGGGCCCTGGATTCAATCCCCAGCACCAAAAAAAAAAACTCCTCTTCCCATGACCCGACTTTCTCTTTAATTGTAATCTGCCATCAGCTCAGGTTGCTGGGGAGCCCAAGCTGCCTAAGAGCAAAATAGAGCAGCCCTTTCTCAGCTGTCAACCTCAACTGCTCTACAACTGGCTTCTATAGGAAGGCACCACAGTAACCTATTTTCTCTTCTACGCCTATCTGGAAAAATGTAAGGAAGGCACTTGAAAACGTGCCTAGCTGATACTAAGCACTAAACAACTGGTTTCTAATTTCTTACCATTTATTCTTCCTCTTGTCCCCTAATTATACAATATTTTGTCCTTGGCAATTTTCTGCCCCTCCTACATCCCCCCTTTGGTCAAGTCACCTATTCACAAGATTTCAGTTAGTCCACCTATGACAATTATAACTCTCTCTATAAATCCAATCCTGTCTTCTGAATTCTAGGTACACACAACACATTCAAACCTAACTCTCTTTTCCAAATATCATTAAATTTTATCAATAGCACCCCTATTTGCTTCCATTATTTTTCATTTCACTCTCTTCCTCATCATCACTATATGCCATAAATTCTCAAATTCTGTCAGTTTTTCCTCCTCAATGCATTTTCTTTCCATTTCCTAATTCAGGCTTCCTTATCACTCACCTACTGTAGCCCACCAAATGGATTTTATACTCCACTCAGACTCAACTACACATTACTGTCAGATAAAACCTTGCAAACCAAGAGATGATACTGAGTTACTTACCAAGTCAAAACCCTTCAATGAACCTACTCTCCCTTCTTTAAAATGCACAGACTTTTCAGCTTGGCATTCAAGAGTGCCACAAAACAGATGGCACCAACCCCACCTCCTGGCCAAAAAGGAATTCTTTAGTTCTTGTATCACTTGACTTGTAAGCATTTCTCCCCATATCGTCATACTTAATCTGTCAATATTTTACCACCTTTAAATAGCCACTCCAACTCCTCTAGGTTTGGGGGGTTTGTTTTCCCTGATGTTTTAGCTCCCCTGCTCCACAGATATTATTAACTCCTTCTTCAACATGTTCTTAGCACTTGATAATGATTTGTGAAAGCCTATGTTCTGCCATAATATACAGCTATTTACATAATCACCTTACACTCCACACTTAAAGGCAAGGCCATTTCTTAAAAGTTATTTTTATAACCCTCTGGTCAACACATGTTCTGAATCCTTCTTTTCTTAAGAGAAACCTAACCAATAAAGATACCAAGTCATGTAGGAGTTCTCAAACATCCCAGACACCTTAGGCTGCCATGCTAAACGAAAACTTAAACCTAATAAAACTCTTAAAGATTGGACCAACTTGAGTAAGGGGTTGGAGGAAATGTCTCAAAGAGAAGGTAACAAAAATCAACTGCCTCTGTTTTCACACTTTAGTACTGTATACACCATCCATGGTAGCTAGGATTTTAAATTGGCGGTCAGGATAACCGGATTCCAGTGCCAACTGTCCCAGTTACTTGCCTAGTGCCTAGTCATGACCCTCTGAACCTTTTTTCCCCCAAAAGCTGTTCAATGAGATACTTTTACTTTAAGTTCTCCAAGTTGCCTTCTTAGACATTCCGTGTTTCTACAAAATGATTTAACCTGTCCTGACATTCAATAGTGACAGGTCTTTAAAGCTTCCAACTCCTCACTTCCTCAGATTTCATCTCCAACAACTATGCTTCTGCCTGCTCTGAGCTACTTCAGCACCTGCGACCCTTGTAAGCCCAGCTGAGTCACAAAGTGTCCTTATCGCTCCACAACTGAACTGAAAGTGGCTTCACAAAGGCAATGCAGAGTCTATTCCGGCAGAAGCTGGATTTCCCCCTGCTGCTGCAGCTCCATACCATTAGCGCCCAAAGATCCATCGCAGGACAGAGTCCCTAGGTTGCAGCCTGAGTCCCCTCCAGCCCCGGTTCCCTCTTTCCAGTACCAAAGGGTTCTCTAAGACGCAGTCATAGCCCTCCTCACCCAGCAACTCGAGGTTCATCCCTGCGGACTCTGGCCGCCCGGTCTCAGCTCCGGCAACAACTCCGTCTCCCCAGCCCGCTTCTAAGACCCGCGTCTAAGTGCCGGGCGGCGCAAATAGCCAGGCGCAAGCTCTGGAGACTTTCTGACTTAGAAGGCCCCGCGGCTTCCGCTTTCCTCCCCCGCCTTCCTTCTTGGTTTCGAGTGGCTGTCTACATACATGCCTAAACAAAAAGAAAAAGAAATTCTCCTAGAATTAACTAATTACTATCTTTTTAAGGTATAAAAATGTAATCTTCACCCAGGACTTTAAAACGTTTTAAAAATTAAAGGTTTTCCCGTCGGGACTATGTAGTTAAGCTAGAAATTTCGGGCATCTAGTTAACCCACTAATTCTCGCTATGTTGTGTGTTCCGAGGCGTTGTCCGGGTAGGCTACCTCAGACTCCGCCGGAAAGGTTCCGGACAGGTGCTACTTATAGGAAAACGGGAAAGGTCGGCCCCTAATGCCAGCGACTTGGAGCTCCGCTAATATCAAGGCACTTACTTACCCTGTATGTAGAATAGTTATCATGTATCTGACTCATTTTCGTGAAAACTATTTCACCCTTGTAAAGATATGCCATTGATAACATTTGTTAGGCCTTTACCTAAGGTTTTGTTTTACCTTGTACCCAGAGTTGACTTGGACACTGTGAAAGAGAATTGGAGAAATGGACTGAGTTCCCCGGGAGAGGTCCATCAGACAACTGCGGTGACATACACAAAGCAATTAGCGAAGGCCAGCTGATGGTAACTACGCGGGGCGGGGGACGGCTTATGTAAACCATTTCCGACTACGGATGCCGTGGGCTTTTACGAAAAGGAAAGAACCCAGCTCGGTAGCACACTTAGGAGGATCACAAAGTTCAAAGCCAGCCTCAACAACTTGGCAAGACCCTGTCTCAAAATTWAAAAAAAAAAAAAAAAAAAAAAAGCTAGGGATATAGCTCAGTGGTAAAGTGCTCCGGGTTCAATCCCCAGTTACACCCTACCCACCCCAAAAACAAAAGCGTGGGGAGAAAGGAAAGTTGCTGCAGAAACTCAGGCTTGGTCTCCTATATAGATACAATAGTCCCTGCTCTACCCCTAACTCATTCTATCCCTTGAGCAATATTTGTATCCCCTGTTTCTCAGGAAATCGTAATAATAGTACTTAAAAGTATTATCACAAGGATTAAATGAGTTAACACATGTGAAGCACCTAAAATAGCAAATGCTCAATAAATATTAGCTGTTATTTATAAGTCATTTTCCCCTACATTTTGTCACTTCCTTGAGACCATTAGAGTAGGTGTTAACCTCATTTAACCAATACTGTAATTGAGGACCAGAAATATTAGGTAATTTGTGTTCCTTCAAATATCAAAACATTCTCAAAATGCCATCTAAAATATTGCACTACCAACAGTAGTATATAGGATTATTTATGCACACTCTTGCAATCATTCGTTATTAAGTCTCTTAAACTGCCTATTGGATAAATGGAAAAAAAATGTCATTGTTACCTTTAACAAGAATGTTACATCCTGATGAGGGGGAATGAACAACTTTTCATGTGTATACCTGTTTTGGTTTGGTTTGGTTTTTCCTCTTCAAAGAAAAGTGGCTGGTGTCCTTTGCTATTTTTTGGATGGGCTATTAATCTTGTGAGATTTTAAAGCAAGGGCTAATATAATCAGATTGGTGTGTAAAAAATATAATCCTGCAACTCCCAGCTACTAGGAATGTGGAGGCAGGAGGATCACAAATTGTATGGTAGCCTCTGCAACTTAGCCAGACCTTGTCTCAAAATAATATTAAAACCAAAAAAGGGCTGGGGGTGTAGCTCAGAGGTAGAATGCTTACTCCAAAGAAGTCCATAAATAAATAAAAATGAAAATAAAGCATTTTTTTCTTTTTGCAATATTGAAGATAGAATTCATGGCCTCCTGCATGCTAGGCAAATGCTCTGCTACTGAGCCACATCCCCAGCCCTAACATGTTTTTCATTTTTTTTTTAACCCACTCCACCAGAAAGCTACACCTCCAGCATAAGAAATAAAACACTTAAGGACATTGCCAAATAGGAATTGATTTGAGAGGTGGAAAGTCTTTAGGAGTTTACTGCTGAAGTCACATGGAGATAAGAGGAAGACCTTCTATGAAGGAGAACCACCATACAGGCCGCACGCTGTGGCTGTAATCCCAGCGGCTCAGAAGACTGAGACAGGAGGATCATGAGTTCGAAGCCAGCCTCAGCAACAGCAAGGTACTAAGCAACTCAGTGAGACTCTCTCTCTACATAAAATACAAAATAGGGTTGGGGATGTGGCACAGTGGCCGAGTGACCCTGAGTTCAATCCCCAGTACCCCCCCCAAGAAAAAAACACAATAGAGGAGAAAAAAAGGSAATCCATTCAAGAGAGATGTAGGAGCCAGGCACAGTGCCCCACTGCAATCCCAGTGACTCTGGAGGATTGCAGGTTCAAGGCAGGTTCAAAGCACCCCTGGGCTCAATCCCCAATACTTCAAAAAGAGAGAGATGGGGCTGGGGATGTGGCTCAAGTGGTAACACGCTCGCCTGGCATGCATGCGGCCCGGGTTCGATCCTCAGCACCACATACAAACAAAGATGTTGTGTCTGCCGAAAACTAAAAAATAAATATTAAAAAAAAAAACCTCTCTCAAAAAGAGAGAGATGTAGGAGGCAGAATTGATTTTTTAAAAGAGACCTCTAATATGTGAAAATTAATAGCAGCTCATGGGTCTGACATGACTCCAGTGTCTGTAGTTTGCATGGCTACATTTGCAAGATATAGAATGCAGGAAAGGGAATGCCTTTGGCAAGGCAGATGAAGACTCTAGTTTCACACAGGTCAGGTTTAAAGAGTGAATGAGAAATCCAAGTGACCTTACCGGCTCAGAATTCAAAGACGAGGTCCAGGCTAAAGACGTACTTTGTTTTGTCAATTCTAAGACACACATTTTCTTACACATTAAGAGCACCTGCCTAGCATGTGTGAGGCCCTGAGTTGATCCCCAGCACTACTAAAACAGAGGAAATTAATGATTGCCTGGGAATATTTATATACTTTCAAAGCTAACTCCCAAAGTGTGTGKGGGGTAAAGGCTAGACTAATACCTATGGGAGAAATCAGAGTTGGTGAGGTTTTTGTTTGTTTGTTTTTAATTTTGTTTTCTTAATTATAGATGGACACAATACCTTTATTTTATTTGTTCATTTTTATGTGGTGCCAGAGATCAAACCCAGTGCCTCATGCATGCTGGGCAAGTGCTCTACCACTGAGCCACAACCCCAGCCCCTGTTTGTTTTGATGCTGGGAATTGAATCCAGGGCACTTAACCACTCAGTCTCATCTCCAGGTCTTTTTATTTTTTATTTATTTACTTATTTTGAGACAGGGTCTCACTGAGTTGCTTAGGACCTCRCTAAGTTGCTGAGGCTGGATTTGAACTTGTGATCCTCCTGCCTTAGCCTCCCAAACTTCTGGGAAAACAGGCATGTGCCACCACATCCACTGGAGATGGAATTTTTTAAAGATAATCCATTAGAGATACCTGGACCATCTGTGAACCCATCATGCTTTCCCCCACCTCCCCTGACACCAGGGATTGAACCCAGGGAGAYTCTACCACTAAGCTACATTTAGCACTCTTTATTTTAAGACAAGGTCTCAATGAATTGCCCAGGCTGGCCTCAAACTTGTGATCCTCCTGACTCAGCCTCCTGAATTGCTGGGATTACAGGTGTATGCCATCAGCAAACCCAAGATTTTTAAGAAATTTCTGGGATATGGAAAGTGATTGAGACTATGTTGCAAACATTTAGAACCTTTATGTAGTCACATTTATCAGTGGTTTTCTTTGTTRGAGGTCACTAGCTCAGCTGTCTGGGAAAGAGATAAGTGAGGGAAGTAAAGGAACAAGCTACTCTAAGAGGATAATGGTATGATGCAGAGAAAAAGAGCCCCTGCTAAGGGAAAGCAAGAGACACATTTTCAAGGGTTCCCAGCTCTTTTTTTAGAGGAAACTTGGTGAGGAGTGGGTATGAGAAGATATGTGAGAATGATATCAGTCTGTTAATCTCAAGAAGGTGTATGGCAGTCTTGTCATTTTGGGGAATCTTAGGTTGACATGGTYGCCAATATCTGATCAATAGATAATGCTGGAAAGCCCTCTAAGTTACAGGTGTTTCAAAATATCATATCTCCCTTTGCTTAATCTATTTATTGGTGGGTGAACTGACAGTGCACAAGGAGATATACAGATTTCCCAGAAATGTAGAAGTGACAGGCTTAGGAGAGACACTGGCTTGGACAGTGACAGGCCTGGAAAAGTATGCAGAACTTTAAAATTATATTTCTTTCTCTGGAGGCTAGGGCAGGAGGATCACAACTTTGAGTCAGCCTCAGCAACTTAGCAAGACCTTGTATCAAAACAAAAAGGTCTGGGGATRTAACTCAGTAGGAGAGCACCCCTGAGTTCCAACACCAATACCAAAAAAAAATTTTTTTWAATTTCTTTTGCCCTTCCTTTATGTTTCCTTTCTATTTTTTATTTCTTATATTCTACCAAAATTCTTTTTTTTTGAGAGAGAGAGAGAGAGAGAGAGAATTTTTAATATTTATTTTTTAGTTTTCGGTGGACACAACATCTTTATTTTTATGTGATGCTGAGGATTGAACCCAGAGCCCCGCGCTTGCCAGGCGAGCACATTACTGCTTGAGCCACATCCCCAGCTCCATTCTACCACAATTCTTGGTGACCTCCATACCCAAGTAATTTTATCCAGTGCCTTGGTCTCATGGTCTTTGCCCTCTCCCTTCCAGTCAACTTTTTCCTTCACTCCAGCCTCTYCCAGGATCATATGCTTGTCAGTATCAATTAACTGTACCACCTTTGAAATCTCAGTTTCAAACATTCCCATCCTCCAACCCCCACATCTTATTCTTGTGGTTCATTTACTGTGGACTCACAGTCAAGAAGTCTGCAGTCTCATCAAGATCACCACAACCTCAAGTCTAATTTTGCTCTCTGCCAGTCCTCTCATGTTCTCTCTGCTCATCTTACCCAGCTTAGATTCTGTGGTCCTTCAGTATAATTCTTCCCTTGCACACACCTTACCTACCTATTCTTTCTCCTTTCACTACTCCTCATGAGCTGTAGTCAAGGGCTGGGGTCAGGTTGGTAGCACAGTAGTGGAAGGTATACTTAGTATGCACAAGGCCCTGTGTTTGGCCCCCAGCACACACATACAAAAAAAAAAAAAAGTTGTGGTAAAAACATAACATAGGAGTAGGGTGTGGTAGCGCACACCTGTAATCTTAGCAAGTTTGAGGTTGAGGCAGGAGGATCATAAGTTTGAGACTAGCCTCAGCCACTTGGCAATGCCCTAAGCAACTTAAAAAGACCCTATCTCAAAATAAAAAATAAAAAGGGCTGTGGATGTATGTGACTTAGTGGCAAAACACCCCTGGGTTCAATTACCAGTGCAGAAACAAAAACAAAACATGTGACATAACATTTACCATTTAGGAGGCTGAGGCAGGAGGATTGCAAATTCAAAGCCAGCCTCAGCAAAAGCAAGGTGCTAAGCAGCTCAATGAGACCCTGTCTCTAAATTAAAAACAACACAAAATAGGGCTGGGGATGTGGCTCAGTGGTCAAGTGCCAAAGTTCAATCTCCAGTATCCAAAAAAAAAAAAACCCAAAAAACAAAAAATTACCATTTAAAGTGTACAGTTCAGTAGTGTTAAGCATGGTCATACTGTTGTGCCACAGAGCCTTTTCATATTTAAAACTGACATAACACATCCAAAAGCTGCTCACTTTTTCTTCTCCCATCGCCCTTATTAGCAGCAATAGTGATGGGTTTTATTTCCACTTTGGCYGGACCACAGTGCCCACATACATGGGTAAACATTTTTCTGGATGATTCAGTGAGAGTGTTTTGGATAAGATTAACATTTAAACCAGTGGCCTTTGAGTGAAGCAGACTGCCTTTCATAATGTGGGTGAGCATCCAGTTGAAGGCCTGAATGGAACAAAAGACTGATCCTACCCCCAAACCCCCAAGCAAGAGGAGAACTGGGCAACAGACAGCCTTACAATCTGAAGGCTTGAACTGCATGCAGCATGGGCTCTTCCCCAGGTCTCCAACCTGCTGGCCCCCCTGTAGATTGGAGACTTGACAATTCCCATAATCATGTGAGTCATTATCAACTCAGCCCAAAGTGTCTCTCTCTTTACACACACACACACACACACACACACACACACACACACACACACACACACGGTTTAATTTCTCTGAAAAATACTAATATACCACCTTTCTATTTTATGTTTCTTTGAATTTGACTTTTTCCAATACCTCACATCAAGGGGATAATACAATACAGTATTTTGTGTCTGGCTGTTTCACTTAAATCATGTCTTTAAGGTTCATCCATGTTGCAGTATGCATCAGAATCTGCTTCCTTCATAAGGCTCAGTAGATTCCTTGAATATTGCCACAACAACATACATATTTGTATACCACAAATATATATTTATTTTGCTACTGTATCAGGTTCCTGGAAGGAAAAAAAGATGGCATATGCAAAAGGGGGAACTGATGAAGGAAGCTATTTAAGATATAAGCAAGCCAGGTGTGATGGAGCATGTCTATAGTCCCAGTAACTCAGAAGACTAAGGCAGGAGAAACACAAGTTCAAGGACAGCCTCAGAAACTTAGACACTGTCTCAAAAGGAAAAAAAAAAGTTGGGTGTTGGGTATGTATCTCAGTGGTAGGAAGTCTTGCCCAACATGGAAGAGGCCCGGATTTACTCTTCAGTTAAATAAATAAATAAGCAGGATTATGGGAAATTTAACAAGCATCATAGGACTAACAGCACGGGCAAGCTGTCATTCCTAGGCCTGATAGGGTGCAGGGAAGAGTGGTTACTAGAATGGGTACTGTGAGATCCGCAGCTGCAGGAAGGAGAGAAGGCCATCAGACAGGAAGGCAGGCATTATCAACACTGCCTGGCTGGGAGTGAGCTAGATGAAAATTCCCCAGCCCTCTCTTCTGCCACCTTCCATATCCCCAACAGGTCCAAAAGAAACCACTGGAAGCCTCAAGACAAAAGACCATAGAGGCCAGCAGGCTGAGGCAGGAGCTGGGTGAGAAAGTGGAAGAGTGAACTCAGGGGGCATTAAAAGTCCCTGTCAT